ACTTGTAATGACCGGGTTTTCCATAATGGTAGCATGATCCTCGTGACTTAGACTTCTTATTTTCATCTTGCTTGCTTGGTTGAGAGTGGCGTATATAAGTGATGAGATTCTTATCTGAATGCTGAATTTCGTTTTTCTGGAGAAATCTATTGTATTTTCTTGCGAATAATCCCATATCCTCATCCGGACTCTCATCGTCATCACTTGATTCACTTTCACACGAAATTGAGGTGGATGACTTGGAGCTTTAAGCCTTTAATGCTATAGACTTCTTTTCCAAGTCCCTTGACTTTTCCTTCTTTTCTTTCTTTTCATGCTTCCAAGGCTCATAAGCTCTTGCTCATGTTCTTGAAGCTTTCCCCATAGTGTGGTGAGATCCAAAGTATTTAGATCATTGGCTTCCTTAATTGCACTAACTTTAGGTTGCCAATCCCTGCTAAGACATCTCAAAATTTTATTAGTAGCAACAGAATTGGCAATTACATGACCTAGTGTATGCAAGCGATTCATTATATAAGAGAATCTCTTTTGCATGTCGGCGATGGTTTCACCTTGCTCCATGCGAAAGAGATCAAACTCTTGCGTCAAAGTATTGATTCTAGCCAATTTTACATCATTTGTGCCATCATGGGTGACTTGCAAAGCGTCCCACATTTCCTTAGTCGTAGCGCAATGTGAGACCCAAAAATACTTATCAACTCCTAGAGCTTCTATGAGCATGTTTCGTGCTTTCCAGTCATAGGCATAATTTTTATCATCTTTTTCACCCCATTGTGCTTCCGGTTTAGAAACGGTTATCCCAACCGCATTTTGCATAGTTATTGCAACTGGCCCATCTTGCATAACCTTCCATATTTTCCTATCAACAGAGGTGATATAGACACGCATACAATCTTTCCAATAGCTATAATTTTCACCTGTGAAAACGGGTGCTCTATTGTACGCCCCTTTTAGATCACAATCCATTTCTAGAAGTTGTATGTGAAGCACTGGATAAACTAGTGCTATGATACCACTTATTAGACGATGTGACGGATCTAAAAGGGGAGTTGAATATATCCGGTTAAAAATTTGTGCATTTTGTAAAATTATTTTTATCAGAGAGCGACAACCCTGAATCTGGTCGTCTAAACTTTACGTATTGAAAAGATCGGATATGCGAACTAATTTGATGAAAATGATGAGAATAGAATCACAATTAAAATGAATATTATGAATCGCTTTAGCAAGTTTAACAAGGTGTAAGTTATTACCAATTAGTTGCGGAGAAGATAAAGCAAATTTGTGAGTTGTAAATTCACCAAACACTTGGTGTACGTACTACATAAGGTTTGGTTATACTCAAATTTTAGTGATTGTAGCAATTTGAATGAATGCTATATGAGTTTTAAATTTTAGTTTATCACTACAATTATTTTGTATGCATAAGAAAAATAGATAACTCACAAATTTAAGCAAATAGAAATCAAATACAAAAAACTAAATTGGACACGGTATTTGTTAAGGCAGTTCACCCTGTCGTCCTCGCGTGGGCTACTCTGCCCCCAATTCTAGAATTTAGAATTAGGATATGAAATTAATTTTGCAAAGTTTATAAGAGAAGATACAATCACCACAATTCAAAAACACTTGATGAATCTTATATGATACACTCCTCTTCCCTTGATTCCAGATGAATCAAGTATGCCAAATCTTGAACAAAAACTTCTTCTACCTTGAATGATTTTGTACTCAAGAATCTTTGGCCTCAAATCCTTCTTCACAATCCTCCGGTTACTGCTACCCGATTGAACACTCCACGGTCTTCCAATTCCTTAGCTCGGCTGAATTCAATGAAGCAAAGATTTGTGATAAAAACTCCCAATTTTAAGGACAAAATCCCAATGGTTTTATTCAAGAAAAAACCCACAAAGATCTCAACCCAAATCTGAAATTGCACTTTCAATTCGGATGTTATCAACACAAACCCAAGAACTTGATCAACAAGAATGATTGTGTGTAGTTGTTGATTATTGATGAGAGGTTGAAGATGAAGAGAATTCTTGTGTATATCTTTCACTTTTTCTTGTTAGCTCCAAATAGAGGCCAAAATTATATTTATAAGTCATTACCATGATGTAACAGCATAGCAGAAAATTAAGACACTTTAGCGATGCATCGACTCATGCAAGGCATACAGAAGGCGTGCGCCTTCCCGAGCGAGAGAGAGGTTGAAGTTCCTTTAGTTATGCACCGACTCACTATTTTGATGCGCCAACTCATGTTTTCCCAGAACAGTGCGTCGACGCATAGAGAAGGTGTGTGCCTTCCTGAGCGAGAGAGGTTGAAATATCTTCTGTTATGCGCCGACTCATTCCCTAATGCGCCGACTCATGTTTTCCCAGAACCATGCATCGACGCATAATGGAGGAGTGCGCCTTCCCGGATGTTTCCAAGCTAAGGACTTCTTCTCATGATCCGACCTGAGAGTCGACCCGAGAGTCCATGAGCCGGCTCATGCAGTCTATTTTGAGATAGATGCTTATTTTTGATGTTTCTCACTTGTAACTGTTTTGAAGCAAGGTATATTTGCACATATGGGTTTTTGACAATCATTAAAACTCGATTCTTTCACTTTTTCCCTCACATCAGGTTCTTCTAGCTTTGAAGAACATTATTGATAGGAAAGAACAAATTCCCAGGGTAGCCTTTGAGGAAATAACCCAGACCATCGGTGCATCAAGTGGTCACTGATTGTGAAAAGGACCAGAGACAGGGCCACAAAAGTCTGTTATGGCTCAACATGAGACAAGACCAAAAAATGAAGGGTTTGTTCCACCTCTACCAAAGGCAGAGGCATCTCATACCCTGTGGATTTCGATTAACATTGCTGATAATTACTTGGACTTGCAATATGGAGATCGCAACCTGGAGGATGTCAATCAGGCGCCTCAGAAGATGACCAATACTCCTGTTACTGAAAATCTACTTGTACTGAACCAATACAAAACTTTAGAAGAAAGATTAAAAGTTGTAGAGGCATATGATGCTTTTGATGTCGATGCCCTCAAAATGGGTCTCGTTTCGGATGTAGTAATCCTGCCAAAATTCAAAGTACCTGACTTTGGTAGATACAAAGGGCTCACTTGTCCAAAAAACCACATGTGAATGTATTGTAGGAAGATGCATGCTTATGCTCAAAACCAAAAATTAATGATGCACTGCTTTCAAAACTGTTTGAGTAGGGCATCTCTGGATTGGTACATGTAGTTAGAGAGGATGTACATCCAGACATGGACAGATCTTGCTAATGCTTTCTTAAAACAATATAAATACAATCTTTACATGGCGCCTACCTACATACAACTCTAGAACCTATCCCAGAAGAAGGAGAAGTCCTTCAAGGAATACGCTTAAAGGTGGAGAGAGATAGCATCCTGTGTCCAACCACCACTTCTGGAGAAAGAACTAGTCAACATGTTCATGGGAACCTTGCAAGGGGTATACTATGAAAAGATGGTAGGAAGCATCTCTTCAGGATTTTCTGACCTGGTGACCGTTGGAGAGAGGATTGAGATTGGGATAAAGAATGGAAAGATTCAAGGGGAGTCATCAAATTCCCCTTGCAATGCAAAAAGACTGGTTCCTAACTTCACAAAGAGGAAGGAGGGTGAAGTTAATGTTGTGGCTTCACAATCAAGGGCACAACAATTGTTAATAATCCCGCGGGGATAACAACAACAACAAAAATTTGAAAGGCCACCAAGAAAATTGGATCCACTCCCTGTGCCACCTAGCCAATTATTGCAACACTTGATCAAGGCATCTTTGGTAGAGCTAAAACCTCTAGCTCCTCCATTTGGGCCACTTCCTCCTAAATACAATGGCAATGCCAAATGCAAATACCATGCCAATTCTCTGGGGCATACTATAGATCAATGATGGGCTTTCAAGCACAAAGTTCAGGATTTGATAGACTCCCAAGACATTACTTTTGAGAAACCAAACATTAAATCAAACCCCATGCCTCCGCATGGTGGACCAGTAATAAATGTAATCGAAATAGTCACCGACTGTGGGGTAGCTAGACAAATAAAGGCACCGATAAATCTTTTAAAAGAGTATCTGTTGGAATGTGGTTTCCTTTTAGAATACAACGAAGCTTTCGAAAAAACCCTACAATAATTTGTGGACCGGGGGATAGTCTAATTCGCACCATACTCTGAAGATGAATATATAGCAGAAATAGAAGAAAGTGCAAAGAAGCCATTGGTAATCCCTTACCAAAGGCCGAACCATGATAAAAAAAGACTCTCGTGATCTCATGGGGAGATTCTACAAAAACTTCCACAATAAAGCAAACAATGAGGATACCAGTAGCACCAAAGACTACAATGGTAATTAAGGGGCCATCTCCTACCCCTTACGAAACTGATAAAGTAGTACCATGGAATTATGATTCAACCGTATATATCAATGACTCGAAACAAAAATGTGAGCCATCATCAAGTCAATGGCCTGCAATCTCAAATATAGCATGAACGAGGGGCATGACCTGCAGTGACTGAGTGTTTGGATCTGAACCATCGAAGAAGAATGATAATGCGTTGAAGAGTAAAAATGACACGTTAACAAAAGAAAAAGGAAAAACAGTAGTGGAGGTGAATCAGGAGCCTCCAAGCAAAAGCTTTACTGACCAAGAGGCTGACGAATTTTTGAAAATAATTAAGAGAATCGACTATTATTATTATTGTTATTATTATTGTTATTATTATTATTATTATTATTATTATTATTATTATTATTTGACACCCATACACATACTTCTTTCAAGTCACATAAAAATGGAACATGTTAGAAGATGTCACGCCACCTAGCATTAGTAAGAAAGTCCCTAAATAAATGGAACCACTTTGTCCAATCTAACACGTACATTACATACATAGTACAAAAAAAATGAAACTCCTTTCGATTCTTTTAATAATTCTTTTTTATATGTTTATGTTGTATAGTAACTTACTATGTTGTGGTGTTCCACTTTTTACATTAGAGTTAGACCCTTTCTCTCTCCTACAATTCTCTTCTCTTTTAGACGTGGACGCTTCCTCCATCACAAACACAGGTTTGTTTCTCATGTTCATCTTCTCTTTACTAAATCCATCATCATCATCATCACTGTGATCTACTAGATTACTAGATTCATTATCATTAACTCAATTATCAATCTTCTTCACATGCATGGTAACTTTTCTCTTTTATGCTTTCAATCATCACTTTCTTTCCTTTTCAAACGTTTTTGGTTAAACACATCTATAACTAACACATATAAATCCTTTTTTTTTTCATTGTTAGCAAAACATGTTTTTGTTTCTTTTTTTGACAAAAAATATGTTGTTTGTCTTAGAATTTATTATATTTAATATTCATTGGCAATTTCTTCGATTGTTTTTATGCTAATGTTTCTTTATTAATTGATGTTTAACTCCTTCGATTTAGAAACTGCAATTTTATGGAGTTAACAATAATATCAGTTGGACTATAAATTTATTGAATTTTAACGTTTGATGTTTGATTCAACAGAAAAAATCAGCAGCTAAAAGAGATTATTTTGAGAAGATATCTGACAAGAGTGAATTTTAGTGGCAACAATTGTGTTTGTTGTGTTTTTGATGAAGAATTAGGATTCTTACTTTATGTCTGAATGATTCATGGAATGTAGAATATTTCCATGGTGATGACAATGGGAATCTTAAACATGGAAAAGAAATGGTTATTTCCACTCTTTGTTACTTCTGCTTTTTGTATGCTTTTTCTTGCAACATCCTTTAACATGGGACTCGTCTCGCCGATTCGTTCAATCAATTCACTTTTTTTTCTTCCATCACATACACATAGAACCCAAAATTCTTCACTTCTTTTTGTTGAAAGAAAGATTTCCCCCGCTCCGGCTCCCGTTAAGCCTTCGATCCCTCGGTTCGCTTATTTGATATCCGGTTCCAAGGGAGATTTGGATAAGCTTTGGAGAACTCTTCATGCGCTTTATCATCCGTTAAACCATTATGTCCTTCATTTAGACCTCGAATCGCCGTTGGAGGAAAGGTTGGAACTTGCTTCTCGGGTTGAGAAACAGCATATTTTCTCTGAGGTTGGGAATGTGTTTGTGATCCCGAAGGCTAATATGGTTACTTACCGTGGACCGACGATGGTTTCTAATACTCTTCATGCTTGTGCTATTTTGCTCAAGAGAAGTAAAGATTGGGATTGGTTTATCAATCTTAGTGCCTCGGATTATCCTCTCGTCACTCAAGATGGTTAGTTTCTTAATCTTGTATCGTCGTTTCTATTAGTAGTATTTTGCTCTGATTCAAACTTGTTGAGGTTGCGATTTTTCCTGCTAAATGATTGTGCAGATCTGTTATATGCTTTCTCGAATTTAGATAGAAGCCTTAGCTTCATCGACCATACAAGTCGGTTAGGATGGAAATTGTAAGTAAATAATGAACTATTTTGGCTCTCTATGATGACATATCATGCTTGAATGTATCTATAACGATGAATTGGACTATATACCGTGCAGGGACAAACGAGCGATGCCGTTAATAATTGATCCCGGGCTTTACCATTCAACAAAGTCGGATGTATTTTGGGTCAATCCGAAGAGAACTTTGCCAACTGCATTTAAATTGTTTACTGGTTGGTTTCCCTCTTCACATCTTTATTTATTTGAGCCACTTATATGATACTTCAAACTCGTTAAGTTATCTCGTTCCTTTAATCGTGTCTACGAAATAGGTTCGTTAAGTTATCTATAATTTCAAAAACATAGTGATTTTACAATCTGCAAAGGTTATTCTTGAACCATTTGTCAAACAAAGACATTTTAAGGTCTGTCTGGATTGACATATTTGAGCTTATCTACCGATATAAGTATTCGCGAGAGTATTTGAAAAGAACTTGTAGAAACAGCTAATGACAGTCCATAAGCTGTTTTTAGCTTATTTACCAAGATAGCTTGTAAAAACAACTTATAGCTTACTTATAGCTTACTTATAGAGATAGTTTTCTTTTCAAAGATTTTTTTTGTTGAATTATTGTAGTTTAATTTCAGGTTCAGCATGGATGGTTTTATCGCACGATTTCGTGGAATTCGTTGTATGGGGTTGGGATAATCTACCAAGAACCCTTCTAATGTACTACACAAATTTTCTCTCTTCGCCCGAAGGCTACTTTCAAACTGTCGCGTGCAATGTGCCAGAATTAGCTAAAACGGTTGTTAACACCGACCTGCATTATATTTCCTGGGACGTACCTCCTAAACAACATCCTCACGTCCTTAACATAAGCGACACGGACAAAATGATCGCGAGCGGAGCCGCCTTCGCTAGAAAATTCAAACAAGACGATCCGGCCATGGAATTGATCGATAAAAAATATCTCCGTAAGAGAAACGGATTATTCACATTTGGTGGTTGGTGTTCTGGTAAACCGAAATGTACTGAGGTCGGGAACGTTTATAAACTCAAACCCGGTCCGGGGGCTCAAAGGCTTCAACAACTTCTAGCTGGATTAACATTGAAGGCTAAATCTGGTGAGGATCAATGTACATAGATCCTGTTTGGAATTTTCATGGTTGGAGATTGATGAAGGTTATTCTCATACTCCAAAAAGGGTTGGAGTGGGGTTGAAGTGCAATTGCATTTCATTCATAATTTAAGCTTGATGGTCATAAAAATCCAAGGCATTGATTTAGCTATAGGCTATAGTTGCTTTTACATAAAAGTACCTATGATGGCATGAGGAGTTAAGGACCATGTCTTATTTTTGTAGGTCCTTTTACATAGAGGTTATATGATTTTTGGGAAGCATCATGGTCAAGAGATTTTATAGTTTTTTTTCTCCATCATTTTTGTTACTTTATACATGAATCATATGATTTTTATGCTTTTCTATAGACAAGAGAATTATTGGAGCATTTTATTTTAGGCTCAAATTGCCATAAACTATGCAAGGTTTTTTTAAATCTTTATCTCACATAGCGATGAGAGACATTGCTAGAATTTGACACATAGCTTTATTCTGACTACTTCATTAAGACACTTATACTTTGCATGCTCATGCTTTTCATACTTTCAACATCTTATAATTATTTCATTATTTTTCTTAACGTAAGACCTCCCTCTAGTTATCAACATTGAGTTTGATGAAGTGTTATCCTCACTCTTAAATCTTCTTTCTTCAAAAATGATTTTACTAGCAATTACTTCAAAGCTTAAAGTTCCCTTCTCATATATCAAAACATGTATAATATATACTCATGGAAATATGGAAAACACCATATGAGTCTCATAGCTTTATCTTCATCATCAATCTTGATTTCAATGGTTTCTAATTTAGAGACAATACCACGGAGTATACTTAAATGATCAAATATTTTAGTATTTTCATCCATACGTGAGCTATGAAATTGCGCCTTCAATAACAACCATTTGAGATATCTTTTCCTTGATATAGCCTTTTAAGTTTCTTTCAAAGCTCTTTGGCTGGCGATATACGAAGAAAATTTGCAAGAATATTGTTAGTCAAAGACATGAAGGTTGTACTCGAAGGTCTCAAATTTACTTCCTCCTACTTCTTGTGGTCCATGTTATAAATGTTTCTTTTTAACGCATTGTGTAATCTTAATTGTATCAAAACATCTTTGACTTGAATTTTCTACAAGGAAAAATTGATTATTCAATCATATTTGTCTAAGTCAAGTCTCGATACACTTGAAAAGTTTGCTATTGTATCCAAAACCTTGATTTTCACGAAACTCCGAGCCAGATTCATTTGATATTTTTCGTTGCACCATCACAATTATTTTTATTAATTGATTAGCTCACTATGAATTCTCATAATTATAAGCTTTGGTGGCTCTAGTAGCCACTCAGTAAGTCAATCACCATAACACTACAACGGTGGTATCCACCATCGCGCCAATATAGCCATTTCTCCCATATGAAGTAGAAGATTCATTCTCAACTTCCACTCTTCCCGCAACACCTTCCCAGCAGCAATACTAAGACCAAATATAGATGTGACTCCTACTAGTGTCGTAGTTAGGGTTGTCAGAACCAGATATATCGTAGAACTTTCATCAAATTTAGGTCGCATTTGGAATGCACGACACTGGAAAATTAGCTGCGAATCTATATAACTTGATCGCAACTCTTTTGGATGCACCGTAACACGAGTATTCTGGAACTGTGAAAGTGATTTCTTTACCTTCAATGACTATGTAACAGACCATTGGGGCTGCATAGAATTGTTGGTCACTCTTGGAAAAGGAAGATATATGTAGATGATAGACATACAATTCCTAGAGATCCCCTACACAAATGTTTAGAATTGCATCTTAGGAAGCCGCTTTTTTTCAACCATTGACATTGTCACTTCTACATAACGTTCATGAAGAACTAGTAATCGTCCATGCTAACCTAGAAAGATCCCATAAAATACACAGAACATTACTAAAATACCTAATTGTGATAACCCTTATGTATAAAGAGAAGATTAAAAGAGCCACTCATTCCAACCATCATTATTTTAACAATGCATGTTTATAGAAAATGAAAATGCAAGCAATAGTAACTCAAGAAAAATAAATGTATTGAAGCTTTGAAGAATGAGGCAATGATGTCTTCACATCTAACACATACAGAGAAGATTGAGATGGTGGATAAGGTTATGACTCATGAGGGTCATTATCTCATGTCTAGAGGATAAATTTCTAAGGAAAGTCGCCAAGGAGATGACGAAGACTTTGATATGGATAAAACTTGAATCATTATATATGGAAAAAAAATTGGCTCATATGTTGTGTCTGAATTAACAACTATATTCATTCTGAGTGGTAGAAAACAAATCCATTGTAAAGCAGTTGACACAATTTTATAAGATTATTAATCATCCAAAAAATATTGAGGTGGAGATGGATGATGAGGACAAGACTCTACTCTTATTCAACTTATTACCTAGACCATTTTATCACTTCAAGAATTATCTTCTTTATGATAAGGAAGGTAAAATTACTTTAGATGAAGTCTAGACGGTTGTGAGATTCAAGAAACTTTCAAAGATGAAAGATTTACAGATTGACGATAACGATGAAAGATTGAGTGTCTTAAGAGTACAAAGTAAGTGTAGAGGGATGTCTAAATCAAATAAATTTTACAAGTAAAAAAATATTTCACTTGTCGTAAAATTGGTTACTTCATGAGGAATTTACTCGAGAGGATAGGCAATGATCTTTCTATTTAGATTGAAATTGACTAAGATAAGGATAATTATGAGAGTGTTTACGGGTGGCAAAACGGGCGACCCGTCTCATTTAGGTCCACTCCGTTTAAGTCCGTCTAAAAGCGAGGTGGAGCGGGACAAATCAACTTAGATGTCCGAGCTCAAAAGTTAAGCCCGCCTCGTTTACTAACGAGTTAGCGGGCCGACCAACCAAATTTATTTATTTTTTTAATTTAATTTATTACATAATTTACAAATTTTTAATTATTATCAAAGAGGCTGGCAAAAGATATTTTTTAAAAACGCACCATAGAACTTTAATATGTCTTAAGTCCAAACAGTTCCAAAAATATAAATAAAGACCAATTACAATAAAAATTTAACAAAATAGACTCAAACCCGATAATAAAATGTATCAAAATA